TTCCAAATTGCCCTCGTCGCTTCGGGACTCGGGCAATTTTGGAAAATTTTGAAATTTTGAAATGTGATTACATATACAAATTGTCACAGGGTTACCCTACCTGGCAGACCGGGCAACCCGCCTAAGCGGGTCACCCCACCTATCATGTAAACGTGATCAAGATAAAATAAGAAATTATATTGACAGGCGAGTTACTCCACCTAGGCGGGTTACCTCACCTACTTGGGGTTCCCCACCTCCATGTAAACAGGCCCTAACTTATTTTCAACTTAAGAAGCGCTATATGCATGTCAAGTTTTACTCTAAAAATCAAGATAAAAGATAATCATCGGTTCTTTCAAGTATTGTCTACCCCTATGGAAAGCCACCAGCATCGATGACAGTTTCAGACTAAGACGGAGAATCCAACCGCAAAATACAGATCTGTTGCCTTGTTGTTATTCGATTGTGTTAAATGATCGTCCGGGTGAGGGTAGACCCAAAACGACCTTTGTTCGTGAACGTGACAGACCGTTTCAACGTTAGCCTATCCAATTAGTCTTTACGTGCCTCGTTGGGCTTGACCATGCACGTAGCGGCGTGTTTTTGTTGTTGTTGTTGTTTTTTTTTCTTCTTTTTCTTTTTTTTTAATTTAGTGGAGAAGAACGATGTGCGTGACCGAACTCCTGGGAAGTTGCAGTCCCGCATCTAGACCGACTAAGTCTATTCATCATAAACGAGGAATTAACACTGACACAACGTTACAAAGGTCAACTACGTCCTTGAATATGATTGGTTACAAAAACTCAGCTGTCATGGACCTTGTTCTGTTTTCTCGGAATCGAACATTAAATCTTAGATTTCACAGTTTGTTTGTATTCGTCGTTTGAATAACCAGTTCTTCAAGGCGATCGCGATGGAACCTCTCGTGGAAAACCTCAAGAAACAAGTCACATGTTCAATTTGTCTCGATACTTACACAGACCCCAAAATACTATCGTGCTTCCACACTTTTTGCTGTAAGTGTTTGGAGGAACATGCAAGAAAAACCCATAGACAAGGCAAATTCAGATGCCCCGAGTGTCAGGCGGAAATCGATTTACCTGAAGGCAATCGCTTCGACCGTTTGTCCACCAGCTTCATCCATAATAGTTTGTTAGGTCTCCTTGAAACGGAAGATCGCGAGGACTTGCTGAAGCCGCCATTTTGCTCGAAACACAAGAACGAAAGACTACGATATTTCTGCTCCTCCTGCGGAGCGTGTATTTGTCCTGTTTGCTTCGCCGAAGACCACCGCGGCCATGAATTCGACGTTATTGAAAAGGCACTGCAGGAAGATAAGAAATACATCATGTTGAACGTCGAAACCATCAAGGAAAAGGCAAACTTATTTCGAGAAGAGATAAGAAAATGTGAGAAAACCTCTGAGGATGTGGAACTGATTATCGCATTCGCTAAACATGACGTGTCTGAGGCAGCTCAGCACGTCATCACAAAGATTCGAAGTCAAGAAAAACAGCTGTTAGAGTCTTTAGAAATGACGCGGAGGGAGAGAATAGAGCGAATCAACTCGGCTAAACAAGAAATGGAATCTCTGGTAGAACAAATGAACCAAGCGACTAAATATGCGGAGAACCTCGTTTAAAGAAGGTCAGGCTTAGATATTATACAGACTAAGACAACTTTGAAGGAGAAATTTCAAGAGCTTGGTGGGGTTAAAGTTCCAAAACATCACCAGACTACATTTGCCAAATTTAACGCGGCATCCCAACAAGACTTGACACTGGGTTTTATTCAACTTTACAGCCAACTAGCCAACGCAGCTAAATCAACTCTAGAAGGACTGGATGGAACTTTTCAGGCTTGTGTAGAAGCAGAGTTTACGTTGTGTCCAAAAACAGCAGAAGGAGAGATTTATAACCAGCCCGATCTTAAAGATCAAGTTGAATTGCAGATAAAACCCACCAAAGATGTCGCAAACGTGACTGTTCGAGAAAGAGAGGACGGCAATCTTACGCTGAAGTTTACACCTAAAGTGCCTGGCGCCTACAGCGTTAAGGTGAAGATTAATGGCGAAAAGCTTCCGACCTGTCCGTTCACCTTGCCAGTGAAAGAACGTCAACTTGTTGTAATCGGTGAATTGGACTTGAAGTTCAATCAAGGGCAGGAGTTCCAGGTACCCAATGGAATCGCCGTAAACAAGCAAGGCGACATAGCTGTCGTAGATTATCACGGAAACTGTGTCTTTGTATTCAATAAAGAAGGGAACTGTTTAAAACAAATTGGAAAAGAAGGAACAGGTCCTGGACAATTCAAAAATCCAAATGGGGTGTCATTTTTAAGCAACAACGAAGTACTTATTGCAGATCAATCAAACAATAGAATCCAACATATAAATATCCGGACAGGATATGTTGTAAAAACCTTTGGGAAAAAAGGTGAGAGAAAAGGACAGTTCAAGACTCCAATTAGTATTTGCCTCGACGATACAGAACGAATTGTAGTCAGTGAATTCTCTAACAACAGAGTTCAAGTAATGTCAAAAGAGGGCGAAGCTCTATTCACAATAGGAGACAGTGGTCCAGAGAAACTCAGCACACCATACAGCTGCATTCCTTACAAAAATATTTTCCTGGTAACGGAAAGAGACAATCACGTCATAAAAGCATTTGATGCGTCAAACACTTTCCTATACAAGTTTGGCGAAAAAGGGAATCAAGACGGACAGTTCAACTCACCCCGTGGCATGTGTTTAGACAGCTCTTATAATCTTCTTGTCTGTGACTATTTCAATAACAGAGTTCAGCGATTTTCTTTGGACGGTCACTTTATAGGCAAAACTACCGTTCCTTTACAAAGTCCATTTCAAATTGTAACAGCACCAGATGGGCGTATACTGGTCACAAGCCTTAAAGCTAAAAAAATATATATACTGAGGTAAATATGTTACTATTCTACGAATCATTCAGCTGCTGCATGTATGCCAGTGGAAACTTAAGTCCAATCATTTACGTTTTAAAGCAAATTTCTTCACAAGAGGCAGAAACACTTAACGGTGTAAGTGCATCGTACGCCCTCAAATACAGAAACCAGGGGGAGGAGGTAAGCACAGAATTGACTTATACACCATGAGCAGTCAGACATATAGGAAAAATATCTTAAGAAAAGGAAACTTGAATGAGTCTATGATAGATTTAACTTTTCTTCGTGTGCTCAGCCTTTCACTTCATCTGGTCGAATAACAAGAACAGCCATTTGAGGACACGGCTCTTATCAGGGCAAAGAACTACCACATGGTAGAAGAAGACAGCAAAAAAAGGGAAAGAAAAAGAGACATAATCGATGGGAACCTCAAACTTCTGTACCTTGTACAAGAGGTTTCAAATAGTGCGGTATAAAATGTTTCAATCAGGTATATTCTTTTCATTGAAAAATGTGCACTTTAGCTATCCATGTCTTTTCCACCAATAATCTCCAAAGTGAATTTAAGGGGATTTGCTTGCTCTGATGTTATTTGATTGAAAGTTGCAGAAGGGGCATGGCCGGGTGGCTCTACCCTTTGACTTCAAAGATCCAATTAGTAACTCTCCCCACCGACTAACATATATTTCTCTATAAATTTCACAGGAGAATTTGGTGTTACATCAAAATAATTCCCTCAGCTTTCTGTCTAAATAAAAGCTTGTCTTTTCTCATAAACTCTCTGCAAGATAACATATTGGAAACGTAAGGAGAATTTACATGTCAATCATCTCTTGGAGTTTTAGGGTGAAGGCGCTGGAATTGACATCTATCGTTCCCAGTTCCTAATCATCCACTCTGGCGCTCCATGAGATTTGTTTCTCAGAAGTCTTAAAAACA